ATATGCTTCCATGAGCCCAAAGTGCAGGCACGAAGATAGAAGACCAAGCCTATTAATCTCCAAGGTGACTCTCAGGAGCTTCCTCTCCAGAAAGAGGGAGGCGACTGACAACCTGAGGCCAAGAGTGGTGGCAGAGATTCATGTCAACAACAAAGGAATGGGCTCTGCTTCTGCACAGAGTGGGGGCACAGCAGAGGGGGAGAATAATGTGTGCTGATCATCAACAACTGGATGCCCCCAATGGAAGCACCCAAGTGAGCTATGGCTGGGAGTTTTTAGGTCCATTAAGCATCTCAACAGGGACTGAAGAGAGGGCTAACCCACAGAACACTGAGAAAATCCTCAACTCAAGTGCATCAGTGAGGAGAAAAGCACAACAGAACTCAAAAGAGATAGGGCAGATGGAAATAAGAGGAAATAAGGTCCTGAAAAATATCCTCCACCAAGTGTGAAGGCAGAGGAGGGGTATGTGGAAACGTACTTGTGTGTCCACACAAAAGCAATCCCTCTAGCAACATATTTGCTCTCTTTCCTGGAGAAAGTTAAGGTCACATCAAACCTTGACAGGTGTCACAGGAACCAAAATGCACAACGTGGAAATTATGGGTGAACACAGTATACATCCACAGTGACATAAGAGCTAACTAACTGATAATATCCGAACCCAACTCTGGTCCAAAGAAACTTGCGTTCATATATTCATATTAAGAGAAAGGAACTGAGTCACCTAAAAACTTAGAGCAAGATCTGTGGACCCTAAACCATGGCATACATTTCACAGGTGGGGCCTAAGATGTCAGATGAACATTCTTTATCTTAATGGTTACATATTTATTTTAATGTGTATTAAAGAATAATATGGTGAGACCATCAAATTCATGTTATTAGAGATTTTACTGAGTAGGATGAGGCCATATAAAGAAGTGAGAGACTTTAATTTTTTCTCCATTTCAATAATCCAGCTTAGACTGAACATTTACTTCAAAAACTCAGAAGAATCATGTCAGATGAACATATATGTACATAACAATGATAGCTGAACATGTAAAGAGAGAATGATCTGATATTATAGAGAAGAAATTCTCTTTCCATATAGCTAATGAGAACAGGATAACTAATATCGCAAAAACCACAGTCAAAGGAGATGACTGAGGCTACTGAGGTCAGAAGTGATACAAGTTTTCCATGAAATTGCTGGTACTAGACTTTGTGACAAACTGGGAAGGTTGACTTTTAGCCAGCATGTTCAAAGGACCAGAAACATCACAAGAAAAATTCTCAGAAAGATAATTTCTTTTCCCAGCTCAATATTCCCTTTGCTGGCATTTTTACCCTATATTTAGGTTCCAAGGCTCACTTTTAGGATATATATCTAGAACCACTCTTCTAAATAGTCTTTGGAAACCTTACTTAGATTCTCAGCAGCTCAAACTTATTCTGTCAAGCTTCTCCCAATGACTCAAATTCAAAATTCCACATTCTTCTCCTTTGTTTCCTACATATAACACACTGCAAAATTAATTTTCATATTCCTTTTTTCCTCTCTGTTCCTCCTACAATCTGCTTTCTTTCAGATTCTGTCAAGAATTGGTAACATAATGTTGTAGGAAGACTGGAGGTTTGCAGACAGATAAACCTTGTTCTGAATCCACTGACTTCTGTTATAGGAGTCTGTAAAACAATTTCATCTTTCTAGACCTTAATTTTATCATCTCTAATAAGTACCAAGCATAGCACAGTATTAAAAATGATCGTCGTGGATAGATGTGCTATTATCTCATTGGTGTGTAGATTGATTGATTGATTGATTGATTGATTTAAAAAATGTGTATCGAGTGCCTACTGTAAACTAGAAACTATGTTATGCACTGGAGCTTTTGCAAATCAATTTAAAGAAACGCATTAAACAACAGCATGTGAGTTATGTGGTTGTGGGCCAAAGAATGAATGAAGATTTATGCAAATGATTCAAGTTTGGGAAGTAACTGAGCTAAGTATTGAAAATTCCTTTAAACTGGAAAACATCATCCTATGGAAATACACAATTTTTTTTTTTACCCACAAATTACCCGCAGTGTTTATTTATACTTTCATTCTATGGAGTATACTTGGTGAAGTGCTTTGATAAAGTAGCCTCTTTTTTTTTTTAAAGATTTATTTATTTATTCAGTCAGAGAGAGTGAGAGAGAGGCAGAGACACAAGCAGAGGGAGAAGCAGGCTCCATGCAGGAAGCACGATGCGGGACTCGATCCAGGGTCTCCAGGATCACACCCGGGGCTGCAGGCGGCACTAAACCGCTGTGCTACCAGGGCTGCCCAGTAGCCTCTGTCTTAATCCACAGTCAAGATAGGAGAAAAGTTAAGTGTGTGAAAACATGACAATGACCTATTACCTGCTCATCTAACTATGAGAGGTGGCTGGTTACAACTTGGGGTGGGGTGCCAGCAGAACCTTACAGCTCCTGGCCAGTCACCCACCCTTCCTATGGTACTTTCCAAGTCAGCTTAGGTATCATTCTAGTTCCTTGAGAAAAAAGGGATTTCCAAAACAAACTATAAAAAGACTATGTGTATATGCCCACCTACATAATTTTCAATGAAAATGTTTCTTCTCTGAGAAAGGGAGGAAAGCTAAGCTCCCCTCAAATACCTGAAGTTCCAGTCCTGTTTCCAGGGAGGATTTCCTAACATTCAAGGGAAGACAGGCTGCTTCACTGTCTTCCTGTCTTCCATCCTTCTGTCCACTGTCTGCAGACAGAGACATCAGCAGCTCGTTTTGTAGCTTAGGTGTGTTGTGTCTGTTCTCACACATGCATACCTTTCACCTCTACCTTGTGTGATCAAATTAATCTTGGCTCAAGAACTAACTGATTTACTCCTAATCTCTCTCTCTTCTTTCTTACATACACAATATGTATATGCTTTGAAACCTATTCCAAAGCTGCTTCTGCTTCAACCTAAGTGTCACCAAACATTAGGTGGCCACAGCTCTCCTGGCAAGGTGAAAAACACATCACCCCATAGCCCAATGTTGTTCATGACAGATATGGGTGAGACCAGTCCTGTTCCAAGTTTTCCCTGCTACACTCAGAGGGGCCCAGGCCATGTGCAGACCAAATTAAGAATGACTCAAGCCACATATTTAAAAGGAGTATAGGCTATCATTTGAAGAGAACTCAACCCTATAGGGGTCAAAGCCCTAAAACTGTGCATATCCTTTGACCTAGAAATTCTTCCAGGAATTTAGCTTAAGGAAATGATCAAGTCTGTGAATAGATTTAGCTACAATGATAACAGTAGATTTACTCATAAAAGCTAAATACCTGAAACAACCCAAATGGTGCTAAATTTACCAAGGTCTAGCCATTTTATGGGACAGTATGACATCTTGAAATGCAGTGCCGTTTTGGGGGCAGCAATTATTTGTTTTCAGAATAATAATGAAGGCCATTACCTCTGATATAAAAATATCAGATAGAAATGCTTATCTGATAAAAAATGCTTTTTGTAAAAAAAAAAATTTGTAACAAATAAAAAGATGCCAATCCACATATGCATTTTCTCTTCTCCTCAAGGCCAAGTGATTCATCCTTCTGATCTGTGTCTTTACTGTACCTCATAAAGGTTAACACCACCACCCCCTTATATCTATTGGGCATTTACTCTGCACTAGGTACCCTGTGAAGTGCTCTAATCCATACCACAACACTACAAGGTAGAAACTATTACCCATGTCTTCCAGAAGAGGAGACTGAGGCCCTGAGATCCTAGGTAACGTGCCCATGTCACGTGCTGCCAGAGCATGGCATACACAGAACTAGCAGCCAGGCAATCCGGTGCCAGGGCATGCTCTCAACCGTCCTATGTTCTGCAGTCTCTGTGAATGGACACATCTGTCTGGGGGAGGTTATCACGGTGACCTACTGTTACCTATTCACTTGTCTACTCCCCTCACTCAGTTGTGAGCAAATAAGGTCCAATTTTTACATTCCCAGTCTCTCGAGGCAATGTGCAAATGTCATTTGTATGAAAAAACTAGCCTTAGTATTTGAACATCATTAAACAATAACTAGTAACAATAGCAGGCAGCAGCTCTCAGCTATCAGCCCTTGCCAAGTCTAAGACTTGTGCCAGATACTTAAATGTAAAATTTTATTTACTCCTTAACAAATCCCTATGAGACAGGCACTATTATCCCCAGTTTACAGATAAGCAAACAGAGGCTGAGAGATGGTAAAAGGCTTTCCCATGTATTGCTGGCATGAGAACCCTGGTCTGACAGGCCTCCGAGCAGAGCTTGAGCCCTCAACTCCTACACTACACCACTCAGCTCTCTTATAATAGAAGCTGAAACAAGCCTGAATATTTTAGGGCCCATTCACCTGATAACTACAAAGAACTCCGTTCTGACATGAAAAAAAGATTCAGTAAAACCCTGGTGATAACCTTGCTGTCTGGAACAAAGAGAGTGTTATATTCTCTCATTCATTCATTCATTCATTCATTCCACACATTTATTAAGTGTCCACTCTATGCCAAGGTTCTGTGAGAGGTGGAGTTAGAAGGATGAGCAAAGAAAGGGCCTGGCCTCAGAGTCACATTCAAGTGGGATAACGTGACTCTCACTAATAAGCATTTAATGACAAATAGAGAAAAAGAAATGGGTTCTGTGGGAACTGCTAACAAAAGAGGGGCCAAAGCAGCAATACTGGAGCCGAGCTCTGACTGTGCCACAGGAGGAAACAATGCTTAGCAGTTTGCCCAAAGGAGATACGGAAAAGCAAGTGGCCTTAAAGCAAGTGGCCCTGGCCTTTCAATCTTCCTGTCTCACCAGGCTTACTCAGCAATGAAACTGGGGAGGTTACAGACACACACCATCCTCAAGAACACACAGGACAGCAGCAGATAGAGAGAGGCCACAAGTGTGCCACCCTGAGCAGGTGGGAGGTGGTGGGGGCCATCCCTTGAACACCTGCCTAGCCCTGGGCAGTAGGACTCACGTTTCTCTGCTGACTGCATGGCGTGGAAGAGTGTCAGAGGCCTCTCACTGCAGGAAGGTGGTTTGGAGTCACTGCTCTTCTTCCGGGACAGGTGCAGCTGGGCATTGGTGAGAGGCATATCAGGCACGGTGTTAAATATCTGCAAGTGAAGTTTCAGAGAAGGGTTACATGTTGCTGTGAGTAGGGGAACAAGCACAGGCCCCAACCAGCACAACTGAAACCTTTTGGCATCCAAGAATCAGCAAGAAGACCTGAAAAGACCACCAGCATTAGCTCAGGACTTCCTTTTAAACATCTCTCAGAATGGACATTAAACATTTTTTTTCGGAAGTGTATCTTGGAGTTTGGTAACCCTTCACTCCCATTTCTAGCCCTTTCTGCTGTCACTTTCATTGATCGTCTCTCTCCTGTTCTCTCCAGTGGCAATGGGAATAGACCTCATGAAATACAAGCCATTGTCTATTAATAGGGCTTGGAGGTTTTTTTGACTACCTTTGTCTAGAACCAGTTAATCAAAACCCTTTACCTTTCCCACTGGTTCTACTGACCAGTTCTTAATGACCACTTGGCAACTTTCTTCGAATTGGAAACTGCATTTAAATAACATTCCAAGAAGCAAGCCCAGAGCAGGACACCAATTCCCAGTCCTCAGTCATCCTTAGATGACTTAGCCTGCTTTCCAGTTCAGCAGCTCTGTGGTGTCTTTGATGCTGAGCGTTTTCTCATTTAAAAGGGGAAAAAAAGGTTGATGATAAAAGTAACCAATACTATGGACAATTTGGAAAATGTAGACAAGCATTAGGAAAAAAAAAGAGAAAAACTTTCTAATTCCAGTACTTAGAGACAACCACTAGAAGCATTTGAGTTTTTAATGAACGTTTTTAGGTTTTTACTTAAAAAAAAAAAAGTCAAGTCCTAGGTAATAAAAACAAAAACAACAGACAAAAACTGTGACGATTCCTTTTTTTTTTTTTTTAACCAGATACAAGTATAGTAGAATTATTACAACAGCTACACCTATTACAACAGCTACACCTACAGGGGCTTACCATGATCACCGTTGCCACCACACAACGTCAATTCCCTAGGGATTAGTCACTGCATGTGTTTTTACCCTATGGCTCATTCAGTTCTCAATGACCTGGAGAATGGGTACTGTCCTCACCATTTATAATGAGAAACAGGCAGAGAGAGTACCTGCCATAATTAAAGATACAATTACAGATAACATAGAAAGCTATATCCCTAGATTTTCTTGATTTCTTTTTTAAAGATTTATTTATTTATTTGAGAGAGAGAGTGGGGTGGGGGCAGAGGGAGAGGGAGAGAGAAAATCTCAAGCGGACTCCTCAGTGAACATGGGAGCATAACATGGGGCTGGATCCCAGGACCCTGAGGGCATGACCTGAACTGAAACCAAGAGTTGCATGCTCAACTGACTGAGCCATCCAGGTGCCCCTAGATTTCTTTTCAAATGCATATAAAATGATAACACTAATTCATTTAATCAGGAAAGACCTTTTGAGGATTTACTTCATACTAATGACTCTAGATTATCACACTGCACGAGGGAAACATTCCCTGTGGTTGGGAGAGTTTGCATCCAGTAGCTGTGATTTACAGAGTGTTTGCCATGACAGGTACCAGATTAAGGGCTTTGTAGGAGTTACCTCATTTAATGCCAAAAAAAACCATTTTCCCTAATTGAGATTACATAATCTACACAGTTTTGTACCTTATACATCTAACATTATATTTCAACATTTCTTTCTTTGAAAAATCTTAAACATGATTCTGTTTAAGATATCAATATTTATTGATCTGCTCATTATAATGTCTCACTCTGGAGCAAGTCTGGATTTCCTCTTTCTCAACAATCATGAGTAACAAGAGAAAGGTGGCTCTTAGCAGCCCCCTGCCTCTGCCCTCAAGTATAGCACTTCCAGCCATCCCTAGCCGAAAATGTCTGAAAATGAATTCAGACTTGTGCTAGGCCTCCACTCCCTCGTGTCTGGCATCCCAAGTTTTGTCCCTCTTTTCCTAACTGGAAATGAACTCCGTGGGCAACTTCCTTTATCTATGGGTCACATTAGACATACCACACTGTATTCAAAGGCCCTCTCTCCTTTGTGTGTGCATTTAAAAGCAGAACTCTGAAGCTGATATATAGAAAGTGAAGTCATAAGAATGATGAGAATTTCAGCCAAAACAGCTGCTCTCCATGGGCTGGCAGGTCCTTGGGCTCCAATGATGCCAGCCAGCTGGTTAAGTCAGTCTCGCTCCCAAACACAGCTGTCTGAAAACAGCATTATCATAGTTTCCCTAGGGGACTGAATTTTCAACAAAATAAACTGAATCACAACATAGCTGAGTTCAACTGGGGCGAGGGGTTGAGAAGGGCCCTTAAAGCAAAAACAGCAGAATGTCCTGGCTTCCAGAGGAGCTGGCACCCCCAAAAAATAAGTACCGGTGCTAGGCATATGTGCAGCCTTCTGCATGCTGCAAGGGAAGCAAAGAGAAACTATGGTCATGTCGAGCTCACAGACAACAGCCTCTAAGAGGCTTTCTCCCCTCCCTTACTGTGTTCCCCACACAATGCTGAGCTGCAAGGCTCTCCCAGGTGACCACCTCATGGCACACTATTATTCCTGATATTTCAACTGTGCTTTTGTATGTGAGCATCTATGCCTGGCAAGCACTGTGCTAGGCACTTCACATGACTTCTAAGCCATAGGTCAATTCAGCATATTAAGCAGGGTGAACATGCCCCAGGAGAGATCCCCTGATCTGCCATGCAATGAAGCAAGAGAGGGGCTGGCTCTGGAATGCAAGGCTGCGACTCCTCACATCTGCACTCTCCACTTCTTCAGCTGTCATTACTCATTCAGCTCAGCTTTTCCAGCCAATCTTCACTCCAGAAGCCATGCTCCAAATGCACAAACACAGATTTCAACAAATAATGGTGCCTCTTAGCAGCCCCCTGCCTCTGCCCTCAAGTATAGCACTCTTAGCCATCTCTAGCTGAAAATGTCTGAAAATTAATTCAGACTTCTGCTAGGCCTCCACTCCGTCGTATCTGGCATCCCGAATTTTGTCCCTCTTTTCCTAACTGGAAATGAACTCCTTGGGCAACTACAAGGGGTACCAAGAAAATCGAGATACATTTTAATTTCAACTATTACCGAAAATGTGAGGTTGAACTCCTTCCTAAAAACTGTAGGAAATGCTGGAGAAGCAAAGAATAGGTTTTGAGGAAAGGCTGTGGATTTTGGCAAATGCATGAAAAATTGCTTCCAACACAATGTTTATACACAGCCAAGCAGGAAGAGCATAGAACACAGGAGAGTAGTTCATTCTGCACACTGGTAGGTTTCTTTAAAAGAAAAGTTGTTTGGCCATACTGGAATCAGTTCTAGGAGATTTTCATCAGGGGTTAAACCTACAGTTCCAAAGGCCAGTTCTCCAGTCCAGGCTGCTCAAGAGTTCTGATGGGGTTGTTCTCACACCACAGAATGTCAAGTGCCAGATACAAGACTATCACCATTGTGATTACACACGTTTCCAAAGTGCAAGGGCACTTTTGTAAATGTGACCAAGTCATAGCAGATAATACAAACTTACATGAAGGAGTCTGGAAAATCATTCCCCAAATTACTGTAGTTCATTTAACTCTGAAACGTGAACAAATGCAGGCTATTTAAAGCCTGCCTATTATCTGGCCACCTTCTAACCAGGCTAAAAATTTGTCTCTGTGCTAGAAGTTCAAGTAGGAATTCTGATGATAATCTGAATTTTTCATAATTTTGTTGGTTATTCCAATCCTGTTTTGTTTGGGAGAGGTAATAATTTCAAGAAAATCAAGTAAAGTTTCATTAGTTCTGCTGAGAAGAATCATTGTACAAATGACCCTGCTGAATGATGCAAGTGTAAGTTCCTATTATCTACAAACAACGGATTTTTTTTTTTAAATTTTTATTTATTTATGATAGTCACACACAGAGAGAGAGAGGCAGAGACACAGGCAGAGGGAGAAGCAGGCTCCATGCACCGGAAGCCCGACGTGGGATTCGATCCCGGATCTCCAGGATCGCGCCCTGGGCCAAAGGCAGGCGCCAAACCACTGCGCCACCCAGGGATCCCCAAACAACGGATTTATGGAGCTCTACCACATGGCAGAAGGATCCACACATTTCACAGAGACTTTCTAAATTAACACAAAAAGGGGGAGATTTATTCTGTGCCCCAAGTGCCCTGTTAATTCCGTCCAAACTTACAAACTAATACTGAGTTAGGAACACTTTAGAAATAAAAGTTATTGGGAAGGCTGTAAGCCTTCAACTCTGGATATCTCTTCCAAGTATTTACAATTTCAAGCTTCCACAAGTAGAATTAGCAGACTTATAGATACCAAACTCCTGTTTCCGCTTAAGCTATACAGGAGAGTGCTCAGGGTACCTTGGCTTCTGCAGTCACACAGGCCTGGGCCAGGTCCAGGTTCTGTTGCTTACTCAGAGGGCAACACCTAGAGCTACACTCACCTCACCATCATTGATAGCAGTGTCTTTGCCATATCACCCCAAAAAGGACAGCAAAGGAATTTACAAGCAGCATTTGGGTAGAAAGCAGAGAGGCTGGGAAGTTAGACAGACTTGGGTTCAACTCAGGCAAGAGCCTCAAGGCCTGTTTCCCTTGTGCAAATGAGGATCTAATACCTGCCTTTTAGAGCTATTGCAAAGTTAAGTGCCTGGCATAGAACCTAGCAAAGAGTGGACAAGAAGTGGTAATGGTATAAATGACAATAAAACAACCAAAATTTGTTGAGTGCTCATCATGCTAAGTTATTTACATGAATTATCTCATTATTTTACTCACAATAACTCTATAAGAAAGGTACTATTATTCTTGGCATCATGAAGGTGAGAAAACTCAGTGAGATGAACTGATTTGTCCAAGGTCATATACTTTAGTGCAGCTGGACTGGAATTTAGTATGACCATCTGGATCTTGCCCATGTGTGGTCTTTATATGTAGTGTTAATTTGAGAGACAAGAGGACAAAATAAGAAGATTTCAAATTTTATAGTCCAATGGATCTGACTTTAGTTGCTTACTAGCAAGTAGTTCTGTGACTCTGAGCAAG